CTCTCTCTCTCTCTCTCTCTCTCTCTCTCTCTCTCTCTCTCTCTCTCTCTCTCTCTCTCTCTCTCTCTCTCTCTCTCTCTCTCTCTCTAATGTGTTGTACTTTCTGCATTGCTTGTTGGTCGGTCAATGACTGTCCTGTGCTGCTCCGTGATGCGCAAGAATTGCCGGTGGCAGGCCCGGCGTGTGGAATGTGGAAATTCCTCTGCCGCTCGCTTTGTGTCCAGTTAGTTCTCTAAGCTAATGCCCATAGACCAGTCCTTACATCTCAGTCTCTGTCCTCGTTAGGCTGCACAACATTTCGGGTTGCACCCAATTCCTTTCAAAGTTTCGTTTTGCACGTACTTAGTTTTTATAGTATTCATATTGTTGGGCCTGGATGCTATCTGTTTCTTTTTTTTTTTCCCATCTTCTCCCGTTCTCATCATATACGTACGCATATAGCTACTACCTGTATATGTACATGTACGGTCAGGTTCTGAAGTTGTTACTGAAGATTAATCCGCAGACCCTCCCTCCCTCCCTCCCTCCCTCCCTCCCTTCCCCCCTCCCTGTCCATTGCAGAACGATTCTTCCAGATGAGCCACAAGACTATCACCGCCTTCCCCCGAACACAACGCACCCGCATTTTGGCTGTACCTGGCCGGAAATTTGGCTTGTATACATTCACTATCAGGGTGCGTTATGTTCGGGGGAAGGGGGTAATAGGAAAGGAAAATGACTGCCTTACAAATGCTTCTTGAAAAAGCGACCATCCCCTTTTTCTAATGGCATTGTTGGGTCGAGGAGGATGGCTTCCTTCCCGGGTCTTTTTTTTTTTTTTTTTTTTTTTTTCACCTCCAGTCCTTCCTGCTACCTGCCAGCAGAACAGGCGTGTCCCGCCATCGCCAGAATTCCACTGCTTTTTTTCACCTACACCTCCCGAAAAAAAAAATCCTAACTATAGATTAGGTTGGCCCGAACAGGGTACCGTTCAGGGCTTTGTTACGTCTATTCATGCTAGTTTAGCAAGCATCTGGTCACTAAAGCTGAATATATTCATGGGCCGCCGGAAGGAAGGCTACTACACTCTACTAGTAGGAAACACTTCAATTAGTACTGCCGCACCTACAAGCTATTCAAAGACCAAGAGACAGACGGGGGTTAGAAATTATAAAAAATAAAAAAAAACTGCTTTGATTTTGAACCCATCTATCTTTCTTTGCAAAGATAGATAGATGGGTTCAAAATGGGTTCAAAATTAGAAGTGTTCTTTTTCGAAAAAAAAAAAAAAAAAAAAAAAAAACTGCTTTTATTTTGAACCCATCTTTCTTTGCAAAGATAGATAGATGGGTTCAAATTAGAAGTGTTCTTTTTCCAAAAAAAAAAAAAAAAACCCTTCTGTCTCTTGGTCTTTGAACCCATTTTGAACCCATCCATCTCTGTTATTCAAAGGCCAGGAGAAGAGAAGCAAAGATAGATGGGTTCAAAAAAAAAAAAAAAAACAGTTTTTTGGAACAGATCGCAGGCCCCTGATTCATCCTTCCTCCATCCAATTCCCCCTCCCCCCTCCGAAATTTGCGCGTGGCTAGATCGGCTTTCCCGCTAATTTTTCTTTTCTTTTCTTTTTCAAAAAGACCTGCTGCTCATCGGGCTATGTATATATATTGTCACAAAGTTATCAGAGCGCAAAAGCGAAAAAAAAAAAAAAGGAAACAAAAAAGATATCAATTCATTTTTTAGCTTCTTACTTACAACTCCCCCTGATCAGACCTCTTGCGTACAAGGCCGCCCACGTGGATGTGGTTGATATTTTGTCTCACCTCACATATTTTAACTGGCTTTCTGCTATGTCATTTCTCCGATCTTTCTTTCACCCAAATATACTATAATAATAAATCAATAATAACAAAACTACATGCACCGATCCCAAGCCTGCGATGACAAACTCGGCGGAAACCGTGACGATGGTGCGACGGCATCGACGGTGGTGATGGTGCCCAGAATTACGACGGCGGCGATGTCGCAGTTGGCCATGATCGGCGACAATGCTGGCGACGATGGCGACGATGGCGACGATGGCGATGGCGGGCCACGATCGGCGACAACGCTGGCGACGATGGCGATGGCGATGACGATGGTGGCGATGGTGGCGATGGTGGCGATGGTGGCGATGACGATGGCAGCGATAATGACAAATATTTTTTGGCGACAATGCCACGATCGATGATGATGGCGATGGCGACGAATGATGACTACTTATTTCTGACGATGACGATGACGATGACAATGACGATGACAATGACGATGGTGACGGTGGCCATAATTCCGACGGTGGGGATCGCGGTGATTACAACGGTGGCGACATCAGTGTTCGCGGCGATTGGCGACAATGCTGGCGATGGCGATGGCGATGGCGATGCCTATGCCGACGATTACGGACGCGATAATGACAATGCACGCTGACGACAAGGATGGCGACCATGGATGATGATGGCGACGATTACAGTAATAGCGGCCAAGATTGTTGACGATGGCAATGGCGATGCCGAAGATTGATGCCGATGGCGGCGATTAATGACGACGACGATTGGTGGCGACGGCAGTGACTGCAATCGTCATAAGAATCGCGATGTCGATGGTAGCGATACCGACAAAGCATTGACGACGGCGATGGCGATAGTGACGATCTCCGCCACCATGGAAATGAAGTAGTACTAGTAATTGCGCCCTATATAGCGAGAGAGACTGGCGACGACGGGGACGATGTGGAAGAAGCACGCGGCGAAGGTTGGCGATGGACGCACACACCCGCTGAGCGTGACGTTGGCGATGGTCGGCGGCGATTGCGAAGATGCAAGAAGATGATAGAAGAAGGAACGGCGCAAGTGACGCAAGAAGAGCGTTGCCGATGACGACGGACAGATGGGGATCGCTCACAAAGGGGAAAGCTCGCGAAGCGCGCGATGACGATGCTGAAGAAGAGCTGGTCGACGATGGAGGACAAAGGAACTTGTGACGGCTATGGCGATCACGCTGGCGATTCTGATGATGATGACGATGATGACGACGCCGGCGCTGTTGATGATGATGGGGTTGGCGTTGGCAACGAATGTAGCCACGCGGAAGACGGTAGTGATGATGAGTCGATGACGACGATGATGACGACGATGATGACGACGATGATGATGATGAGGGGGATGACGAGGGGGATAATACTATAAGAAAGACAACGATGCTCAGACTGAGTGCAAACGACGTGGCTAGAGGAAAATTCCGGGCACCCAAAGACGCCGCCGCACACGCGCGAGCTTTTGCAGGGATCTGCCGAGCTTCTCCCCGCGCATAGCGTGCGCGTAGCATGCGCGTCGTGGCGCGGGGGGGGTACCCTCCGAACGTAGTAGGAGATGGATCAGACGAATCCCCCGGGGGCGAAGATCCGAGGAGTCCATCGGCAACAGGATAATTTAAGAAATTGTGTTCCCAAAAAGAATCCAATCCGTTCACAGCATGATATTAAAAAGAAAAAAAAAAGAAAATGTGGAAACACGTCACGCCGAACAGATGTAACCACCATGCGCGCCTCCTTTTTTTCTACCGGCTCTAATACATATGACCGCACGCACATGCAGCATGACATACACGGGAGGGAAGCTGCGAAGGAGGAGAGGCATCTGCGCAAAGATGAAATAGATATATAGCGCTACTATAGCGCGCCTCCAGCAAACAGAGACGTCAGCTAACAGATCGGATATATTGTCACACTGTCAATCAGAGCGCGAAGGCGGTAAAAGGCAAAACTCTCTTCTCTTATTAGTTTAAAAGCTGCTTCGATCCCCTTCCTTTCTTCTGTTTCACGGGAAGTCTGATCTATAGGTAGAGAGCTGCACCTGTGCTTGGAACCGATCCAGCGGGGGCCATCGCAGTTTCATCATTGACAAAAGTCAAAATCACAAAACAAGAAAAAAAAAAATTCTCCCGTCGCGCAGATTTCCGTAAAGGCATCAGAATGACCGGAAAAAAAAAAAAAAAAAAACGAAAAGAGCGTGAGTGTCAGAAAAACGGAGCGCGGTTGACGAGCTGACGTCAAAGCTTTTGTACCGTAGTTCTGTCTGTCACTATGCACCTGATCGTTTGAGCGTTCAGATGCAGATCATACACCTGCGCGCCTGCACATCCAGGTGCATTCAAACCGGGCAATCCATTATTTTGCGGCGGAGAAAGAAGAAGAGGGAGAAGAAGAAGAAGGAGAAGAAGGAGAAGAAGGAGAAGACCAATACAACACCTGGCTTTCTTTAACTCGATAAAATAGCTGCCTCCACGGCGACTGCTGATCGCTTGGCCGCTGACGAGCACCCACGACATTCGGACCGGGATCCCTCCTTGTCCCATCTCCACTGTAAGAGGAGAACTCCTTGTCCGCCATAGCCAAGTCACTCCTCTGTACGGCGGTTGCCTGTCTTTCTTCTTCTTCTTCTTCCTTTTCTGCCTCCTTTTTTTTTCCCTTTTTCCTTCCTCTTGGTGCTCTCGCGCAGTTCCTACGCGGTCCTCGTCTCACTTCCCGATTGTTGTCGCTCCGGTCCTTTCATCCCCTCCCTCCTCTCTCTTCCGCTCTCCTCTCCTCTCATCTCCTCTCTTCTCCTCTCTCCTCTCCTCCCTCCTCGCTTCCACTGCTTCTGTAATTCTATTACGTCCTCCTCGCAATTGACGTCCACGTGGTGGCAGCAGCCGCCAGCTGTCACACTGAGGCCTCGCCGCACTACTCGCCGACAGGGTAAATTGGCGAACTTGTCTTCGCAGAAAACCACGCAAATACATCCGCCATAGTTTTTGTTTTTTTTTACGTTGGGTCAGTGGTGTGGCATATGGCCCTGGGTTGACGCATCCGGCCTCACAGAACATCCAGCATCGCAGGACGCTATCAGGACCCTCCAGGCAGGCGACGTCACCGTATGCTGGTAGGCCGTCGCCAAGAAAGCAGGAATCTGGTGTAATAGGGTAGGAAACAGGTGCGTCCAAAGCACGAACGTCCACCACCTGAGGACGCCGGTTCGAATCCGCACGTGCACGGGGAAAGTCCAAGGCTGGCCCAGCTATGGGCCGTGCGCCTTCCCCGCCGACACCTTCGGGGGTCGGCCAAGGGAAGGCCCGGTCGCTGCTTGAAGGCCAGGCCCCGGTTCTTTCGGTACGACACCATTGACTTACCGTGAGGGCACGGGTGCGCAGCCCGTAGTTCGTTTGTTTATGTGCTTCGGGAAGGGTAAGGTAGTGATTATGCTGTATGTATGTTTTGTCACGTTCGCTATACACAACTCGAAGAGAGTGTGTGTGTGTGGGGTCGCAGTTGGTGCTTTATTCATGATGTTCGTGGGACGCTGGACCCAGTTTCCAGCAGGTGGCGCTCCCCATCAATAGACAGGAGAATGTATGTGCGTTTGTATGTGAGTGTGTGTGTGTGTGTGTGTGTGTGTGTGTGTGTGTGTGTGAGAGAGAGAGAGAGAGAGAGAGAGAGAGAGAGAGAGAGAGAGAGAGAGAGAGAGAATGTGGGTGTGCGTGTGTGTGTGTTTTGTTGTGAGAGAGAGAGAGAGAAAAAGAGAGAGAGAGAGAGAGAGAGAGACCTGCAGCATGCATCATGTCAGTGGCGGGGAGCAGGCGTTGCCCTCCAACAAAARGAAGAAGTAATTTTATCGGAATACAAGAGTTTTTTCTTTTCGAAATCCGAATAGAATGGGTACAGGTTGTATTCAAATACATGTGCGTTTTTATTTTATTTTATTTTTATTTTTTTTATTTTTTTAAGTAATCTATATTTTTCTCTCAATCTATTTCATCTTTCTTGGTAGTACGCATCTATCTCATCCTCTCACTACTCTATTTATAGTATGGGGGAACACCAACCAACCCGGATCTCTCCCCAGCCCACAGGGTAGGTTTGCACCACAGCTGTGGTGCGAGAGCAAGGCTGTACCAGTCCCTCATCACGGTGACGAGGGGTGGGCAGGCATTGCCGATGGGGGAAATTATATTCGACGAACTCTGCTATTCGAGAAAAGTGGGCCCGCACCGTTTCAATTTCGAAAAAGGACTGCGGCCTCATCGGCCTCCTACGCGCAGCTACCGGTCCTACGAGGTCCTGGACCAAAATTTGTGCGGTCCCATGGGCAGCTACCGGTCCTGCAGTGTCAAATAAGATGCCACCACCCCCTAAACTGCCATGCCTTGTTTTTCAAGCCTTCCAACAACCATAGAACGAAGGAGGACGAAAAATGTTCTCAGAGGCATAAAACACACCCCTGACGGGCTGCAAACAAAACAAAACAACAAAGAAAGAAAAACGAAAGGGAAACTTTTCGAAATGCCCCTGAAGTTTGCGTTTATTTGCGGCGTGCCCCTGTGAAGGCCGACTTACCCTGTTATGCCCCTCGGGCCTCTGAAATTTTTCGCACGCCCCTGTCAGCATGGGGTGTAACTTTCCGATATGCCCTTACTGAACCGCTAATGGCGTTGCGTCGGTCCGTCCTTGAAATGCCCTTACGAGGGGCACACATCTTTCTGTGATGCTCTTGCAGCAGTAGCAGCAGGAATTCAAATTAAAAAATGGTAGGTACTTCACGCGTCACCACGGAAAAATGGTGCAGCAGTCAGTCTTCGAGTTCGTCGCGCCATGGATCGCTGCTCCCTCCTCCTCCACCCATGCTCATCGCCCTCCTCCCTCCTCCTCCATACGCGCGTCATCTCTTCATTTACTTCAAGTTGTTGGTTGGACAGGTGGTACATGATGACGAATCGAAGGTGTTTGTCATTTGTTTTGTAGTCATTCTGTGTGTGTGTGTGTGTGTGTGTGTGTGTGTGTGTGTGTGTGTGTGTGCGTTGTTGTCATCTTTTCGTTTACTTGTTTGTTGGACACGTGGAATATGATGACGAATAAAAGGTCCTCCCTACTCCTCTTCCCTCCTCTTCCCTCGTCCGTCATTGTCATAGTCCTTGTCCTCCCTACTCCTCTTCCCCCCTCTTCCCTCCTCTTCTCTCGTATGGACTGCGAGTGTCAACAATGGCTACAAGGGTTTGCTGGAAAGATGGACGGTACCGGTAAGGGCATATGGGAAACTTTTTTGCTGGTTCTCAACAAGCAGCCGGTAGGGGCATACTGAAAATTTGGTACCGGTACCGGTAGGGGCGTATGAAACATGTTTGAGGCCCAAACGACGCCAGGGGTTTTCTGGAAACATCATTCGTCGTCAGAGGGGCGCGACAAGGTAAGTCAGCCGTCGGAGAGGCACGCCACAAATAAGTACAAACTTCAGGGGCATTTCAAAAAAAAATCCAAAAAAAAAAATCAAATACACAAAAATTAAAAAACAAAGAAAACGAAAGGTAAAAAACGAAGTCACACGGGAGGGAAGGGGGGGGGGGGGAGAGAGAGAGAGAAAGAGAGAGAGAGAGGGAGGGAGAGAGAGGGAGAGAGAGAGAGCTCAACAATGGGAATCCATCTTCCCGCGAAAGCGGGAAGATTCATTCCCGTTTTCGTT